CCATATAAGATCAGATTCGATACTTTCTAAATTTTTTTTAATGCTATCATAAAGAGATGCATCCGGCTTTGTTAATAGAGAACTAAGTTTCGATTTTAATACCCTGATATTTTGATCTATTTCTTCTTGCGTATAGTCTAAAGATACTTCTTGGAGAGTATTTAGTGCCTTTATTGCTTTTAAACTGACGATGCTTCTATACTCATTTTCTATCTACAGCAGATAAAATTCACGTGAATAAATATATGCCACTAAATATTGTATATACCACTAAATTCTGCACGTGCAATCAGATACTAACAATCTCTGAGCTTTATCATTTGGCTAAATTGACTAGGGAGGAGCAGAAATCCTCGACATATAGAGGAATAAATATTCCTGAACACATCGCTCTTCCAGACCGGCATTCCCTGACCTTCAGCAATGGCCAACCAAATACAGCTCATTATCTGCTGTAATTTTCATCATTATATGCTAACAAATAATCCATATAAAAAATTATTACAAACCTGCGGTAAAAGTTCTAACACCTTAGTCTTTCACTCAAGATTATCTATTTTCATCAAAGATGAATTGACTGCCCGGTCGACTAACTCTCGTACTTTATTATATGGAGGCAAGACGTTATCCTCTATCATTAAGTAAAATACAGACACCCGCAAAGAGCATCTAATAAATCGCATACTAAAAGTTCTTCTATATTAGCTACTAAATTTGCCATAGTAAAAAAAATGTTAATAAAAATGTATTGATATAATATGGAATTCTCAATGACCTAAACATAAATTTCCTATACCGTCCTTTTAAATGTCTCGCATTCCCCACATTCATACTCTCTCTAACTCGCAATTCATGATGGGAAGAGGAGATAGGAGAAATATGCGATGCACTTTACGCCAAAAGTTTGTGTTCGAAAATAAGGACATGCGGAATGTGCATTAAAGATCTCGACTTTTAGAATGGTGTTGGAGACAATGCATATACGGACTTTTTCTCTATTCTTTCGGCAAGAATTTTACCAAATATCTTCTGCGCATTTTAGGTGATCGACCACATGATGAAAAAATAAGCGGGATATAGAGATGACGTCTTACTACGCATGATATCTAAGCCACCTACGTGATTCATTTTTACATGATTTTTATACCAGATTTTGATATATAGGGTTGAAGCGAGGAGAAAAAGTATAAATCAATAGACATTTTTCCAATACATATACTTTGCCTATCTGCTATAAAAAAATTGTTTTATTAAGAAAAAAGAAATCTCGATCATACATGTCCATCTGCACAGTATAGTAAATCCCATCATTTATTATATACATTTTTTGGTGTATAATTTCCAATGCGTATACAGGAAGATTTAAACTGTTTACTATCTTGAACATATTAAAATAATATTGTCCGATATATCTTAAAATTAATGTATACATACGAGAAGACATTGAGTAAAAAATAAAAAAAAAATTCCATATAAAACAAGTATAGATCTTAAAGCTATATAGAAATCTTTTTTGGCGAAAAAAAAACACCTTTCGTTATGCGTCTATGACCCTCGTTTAAAGCTTGATAAAACGCATCTGTGTTTTTCTTAGTCCTAGCTTTCCAAGATAAGATGATTTTCACAGCCAATATTAATTTTGAAAAGCCTTCTACGGTCCTTGGGACCTCAATATCTTGTAGATCCATGGTAACGATGGTATTATCGAAAAGATACTTTGAAGTGGATATTGTCAGACAAAATCCATTCGATTGAAGGCTATAGACTTCAATGTCTTTAATGTTATCTTTAGAGGTGGAAGGAAGTGCGAAAAACAGAGCTGTTAATATAACCTTCGTACAATATTCCAACTTTCGAAGGTCACCGTTCTTCTTTCCACGAGTATTCAGAACTCCGTCTTCTTGAGCTAACAATTCGGTACCTAGAGACTTCAGGAAACCTTTACCATCAAGTTTGGGGGCACTACGTCCAGCAATGTTTAATATTTCTTTAAGCTTGTCATAAGACTTCGATGCCAATTCACCACAACTTAGTTTAAGATCTGTTTTCCCTAGGAATGCATTTCTTAGTAATGGAGTCCATACATATGCACTAAATTCGTGTTCAGACATAGATTGGAGGAGGATATCATTTTTATACAAGTGAAAGAAATGGGTGAAAAGGTTTTGTACATAAATGAGGTCATTTGATGATGTGTAGTAACCAATTAAATTTTCATCCAGGCATCTTCCTAAAGAGTCTAAATCTGATACATGATCAAACTTATTTAAGAACTGCAAAACATCATCATCACAATCGACCAGAAATTTATCAATGCCTTTTCCTTCACTAAAATTTACAGTCTTGACCTCGGGATCTTGAAGCTGATTAGAAATGAATTGTTTAAAATCGTGTGGTATATACTTTGTACATTCAGCATTGTAAAAGTTGATAACACCAATAGAGAGAGGGCTTTTTTCAATCCCTTTTGTAGAGTGAATAAAGTCTAAAACGTCTACACCATTATATGTTAACTTCTCGTTCGCTAAGACACGCACTTGATATGTTTCGAGGACTTCTTTCGCTATATCACGAGCAATGTATTTACTTCTCGGCTTTTTATTAACCATCTTCACTTCTTCTAAAGATACATTTGATTCGGCTTTCTTGTCCGGATTTTTTTCAAGCTCGATGGAAGTTGCAAGAAAGATATTCGAAAGATTAACAGGTGTAATCCCGGATTCAGATGACGATGAAGACTCTTCATCTTCTTCAATTACTGGAATGGCAGATTCTTCATCACTGAATGTTTTTATCTGTATATCTGAAATGTGAGAAGGTATTTTGTTGCGGGTAATGATTTAAACAATGGAAAATACCTTGTTTTCCGGGGTTTGTTGTTCGGGTTTATCTTTCTTAATCTTTTTTGTTGGCGGTTGAAACTCGTTTAGTGATGCTTCTTCGTTGATTTTTCTAGTGAAATATTTGATTGTTTTAATTGTTTCGTATGCTAAGTTTCGTCCTATAACTTCGTGTGATGCCTGTGAAGATCAAATCGTTAAGTAATTAGTCAGCGATCTATCTAGCTTTGATTAAAAATATATATATACACACACCCTGCCGAGTGAGGCTTCTACGCTTAGCCAATACAACTCGCAACTGGTTGATTGTGTCCACGCCTGTCAAAAAAAAGCAATTTAATCAAGCTAACTTATTCGTTTAACAGCTAGTGGCGAAAGTCCCATTTACCTCGAAAGAATCTAACAGACAAATCGCTCTCCTGCGATTGGTACTATTATTCTCATCCTTGATTATCACGAGGAGCTCTCGCAATTTTTCTTCGGCAAACCTTCGTGAAGTGTGTGAGAAGTTGAACGCTTTGTAGAAGTCTTCCGGCTTTAGGTCTTTGAGATTGTCGCGTATCCAATCTAGCATTATAGCATTATACATAGAACTGATAGAAGTATGCGTATCAGTATTACGCGTAGAAATTCGGGTAAATACTATTGGTCATATCATGTGATTTACGATTCGTATTTTCTAGGTATATGACGATCATTTTATTTATTGAACGCACCCCTTGGTATTTTTCAACATTTAATTTTTTCGCGCTCGCAGACTGTCAGCGTTCCGATCTAAAAACGATCGGCGTATCAAGGGTAGAACAACTATCAGTGAATGGTTGCGTGGCGACGCTGGCACTCAAGTGCTTCGTTGAAAAAGATGGTTTGGTCAGTAGGCTTACTTCTTTGCAATGGCCCGCCCCATTGCCACCACGCAACGACCTGATCTTGTCTGCGGAGATGTTTCTGTTGTGTTTCGACATTTGACTCTTTGACATATTCGGCGTATCAAGGGTAGACTTTGGGTCTATCAGTGAATGGTTGCGTGGCGACGCTGACACAAGTGCTTCGTTGAAAAAAAATGGTTTGGTCAGTAGGCTTACTTCTTTGCAATGGCCCGCCCCATTGCCACCACGCAATAACACTTCAGTTATGTCTTCAGCATCCAGCTGAGCGTGAAAAATCTTGATTTCCAAATCCCATATTGAATTTTTAATCACATGCACGTGTTAAAAAAAAGTAAAGCCCAATATGATCGAACTTTATTAATTTTTCAGAGAAAGTGAAAAAATGCTAGAGAAACATATGATGCTATCAAAGAGGGAGGGAGTACGCGGATCCTAGGCCATTTAATGCGAGTCCCAGCATCAAATTATTTCTTAAAATATCTATAGCTAATTTTTTCTATCGCTATTCTAACTGAGATTCTCATTTCCATACTCTTTTTCTATACTAGATTTTCGAAATAAATCCCACCCATATCTACGCCTATCTATATCACTACTACCCGCACAGACTATGTAAAATAATATTTTCCGAAAGAGAACTTCGCTGAGATCAAATATTTTCGAGACTACAGCATGAATTCGGGGAATTAGCAATTGGGTTAAAAATAAAACAAGACAGGACTTCAATTCACTCTTACCATTGCGATTCATTTTCACATTATTCCATTCCGCCTCGTATTTAAGAAATTTGTTGCTTAGTTTAGTATAATAAAGTTTTTTTCGGGAAAATCGATTAACATCGTGATGACGTTTCAAGAAGCTAGTCGAACAATAACCAACCTACCTTATTATATTACTTTGCAGATTATACTCGATTGATTGATTGTTGATATTGGTTGATGTTAGTAGTGGTAAGTTCGAATATTTCTTTTGATTTTTTTACTTTACTTGCACAAGACGGATAAAGGGATTCACTAAATAAGGCCTCACCTTTTTATATGATTTGTAGTGGGTTTAAGGATCGATTTTTGGAATAAATCTTTGGTGAAATTACGTTATTATGATTCATCACGAAAATCAGATCAACGGATACTCCTTAAAATCATAATAGACACTGGGATCATGTCCCTGGATCAACAAGGGAATTTTTTAATTATTAATACATGCAAAAGCTTGAGTATATGCGGGAAGTTTCGAGAATAAATTATAGACTTGTTCCTGTGATACATGGTGATGATACTGCACATTTATCGAAATTTTTGGGTCTGGATCCGGATGAAAAACTGATCGAGAAATATTAGCATACAAACACAATCCCATACTTCTCAACACATACTAGATATTGACATATAAATATATTGCGTTTAATGTGCCTTAGCTTTATTGATTATAAATAAAAAAATACATATTTTTGTTCATACTGCGGAATAATATCTTTACAATGCTATGATCGCGAATTTGAATTTATTGCTTGAAGTGTTGCAGGTAAGACAATATTCCAACTCATCTTGGGAATACAACTTTGCTAATTCAGGATCATAAGGGAGCTGATTCCCATTTTTGCAGTACCATGAGCCATGTAATCCATAATTCCCATGTTTTCCATCACAAATAGGGCATGGCGAGTTCCATGGCTGAGCAGATGCAAAATTATAATTATCAATCCCTCTGAAACTATTTCGGAATTTCAAGTATGTGAAATGCTCTAACACGGATTTGATAACTAATTCTGGATCGGGTTTGGCTTTGAAAGTGATAGGCCCTTTTTCTTCACATTGTTTAGAAAAAGATAAATAGGATACTTTGTTTTCTGGCTTCGAATTTATGAGAAGGCTGGCTTCTGATGCATGTGCTTCTGATAATTGCCATGGCTTATACCCAGTTTCTTTTTTATATTTTTTGTATAAGTTGGACTGAATCTTATCCGTCAAAACGCTTGGTAACCCAGTTAATTTGGCATGCCAATCCAGATATTCGGGATTAATATTTTATTGGATTTGCTCATGTTTCCTTTTTTTTCTATGATTACAGATCAATTTAAATTAAGTAATAGTTGACATGTATAAAAAATAATGAGATTATGCAATTATCTCAATTTCGCGCTATTCACACTTAATAAAATAGGATCCAGCCTTATATCTACTTTCTATACTTTCCTCATCATGATGATCTAAACTGCATAATGGGTAAGTCCTTTTGGGATCACAAGATGTCTCGTCAGTAATACCATAATAGTCAAAATTTTCACTACTAAATTCTTTATATAAAATAGGATATTGACTCAATATCTTGTTGCGAAAATAGGATCAGTCATAAGTAGTCCTAGGAATTGGTGGACGAGATGTGGTAAAAACGTTTACCTTAAGTTTCGAAGATGCATCACCATTAGTGGTTTTCAAAGGCACGTGACTCTAATCATTTCCTGAGAAAACGGTTTTTGAAGTTACTTGATCTATAACATTTTGAATTTGTTCGTTAGTTAATTTTTAAATCTCATTTGCACTGCAATTAACACACTTAACCTTATCAATCCCTACATCATTCTCTCCAAACAATTTGTGAATTTTTTTGGCTTTAAGAGTTTAATTCGCAAGGCAACAGGCGTAATACCAGCCAGATGTTCTAACATTTTCTTGTATATTTGAGTTTTTGCAATTTTATCAGTAACTCCTGTCTCACGACGAATTTCAACACCCTTATTTTAAAAATTATCTAAATAATGAACCCAAGATAAAATCTCTTCATGTTTAGCTTGTGTTGCATTTTGAAATAAATGGATTAGGCTTTGTATTGTAATTTGGTCATAAGATGCTTTGCAAGAGGATGAATACTGCTCACTAATTTCAGAAGGTGAAGCAATAATACTACCACTTTGTAAATCTCGTATTAAATCAAGTTCTATATTCTGATTTTTAGTGAGCTTGATCTCATCAGAGTCGTCAAAATCTTGAATAACCTTTTGCTGATTTCTTGAAGTTTTCTCGATTTTTTTCAACTTCTCTGAAACCATCTGATCGTTTCCTGAGGAAATAGTTTTTGTACTATTTTCAATTTTATCATTTTCTGAGAAAACAGTTGGATTATTTTCCACAGAAGGTAATACTTTAAGAGAGGCTGTCTTACGCAGAAGTTTCTCCTAATTGTGTCGCCTTATCCTATCACTAACACTTTTCTTATGTGTATCATCCAAGAAAGTATCCATTTCTCTGTCCACCGATGATTTCTGATCACTCACACAAGATGGCAGAGATTGATTCTGCTTTCTTTGACTATAGTCAAGAATTAATAGTAAATTATCATCAGATGAAGAATCTTTAGCGAAACACTTTTCAGTACTTTTCGCCTCTACTTTTATCTCTACATTCGAGTATATACAAGAAGATGGGGCTGATTGCTTTACAATTGCTTCCTTATCATTCTTTGACACTGCCATGGAACTCTATTCTACTATTGCGAGTCTGGTCTCAAGTTCTGTATTTTTTTGCTTTAGTTTCTTGACTCTAATATTACGCTTGGCATTCTCTTCAATAATTTGCCTCAGCTTTGCGTTTTCAGCCTCAACCTCTGCAACCTTCCTCCTAAGTTCAGGAATCTCAACATTTTCGCCTTCAATTTCAGCAAACTTCTTCCTGAGTTTGGCAATCTCATCTAAAAGCTTAGCATTCAACTCTCTTAATGAATCAATAGATTGAGCGTTTGACATTGTTTTATACAGGGTATGAATAATTCAAAAGTTTGTCAGTATAAATATAAACAAGGAAATAATTA